GTAGAAAAACACAGCCAGTTAACCCCGTCCCCAGCTACAGGAAGTCCATAGCCACATACATGATTGTAGTGTGTGTCCGCGGTTCCCTCGCTCTCCAGGTTAACCCGATTCTGTCTGTGCCTGTTAAATTCTTTCCTTTCAAAGGGCATCCCTTTTCTACTGCAGGCCCTGCTGTCCTTGTGGCCACTCACGTCTCAAGGGCAAACCTCCGTCTCACAGCAGGTGGCCCCCTGCCTCCCAGTGTCCAGCACTTCCCCAGCCCCACGATGGTGCCCCTGGGGACAGGACTCAGGGATTCTTGTGAACCTTTCAAAGGCAAAACCTTTTAAACCAGAAATGTTGCTTTTGACTTTGTTATGTTTCCCACAGTACTAGCATGGTACCAAATCCCGTGCAGGTCTTCAAAAAATACTTTTTGGGGTGGTGCGACAAATTCCATGAATTCAAGGGATTGTTCAAATAATTTGATATGATACAATTGTGTTATATCACATATAACCAACAGTAACGGGACCTTTAGCTGGAAAATGATTCATCTACAGCTTCTGGTTGTAATTCATCTGAAATATAAGATGGCTGTTGTCATTTAGGATATAGGTAATTTTGATGAAAGGCAAGGTATAGAGTCTATTTTTTAAAAAGATTCCCTAACTTTAAAAATATGACAATTGCCTTTGCACAGTTACTATAATAACTAAAACTGTCCTTTGCTGAAGGATGGAGGCTTCACTCAAAGATGGCGGATTTTTATTCATTTGGATTCACACTGAGATTGCTTCCGGTAACACAGGTAATGACAAGAGAGAAGGAAGAGCGGACAGGGCCATGCCTCTCCCAGAACTTGGAGGTGAAGGAAGTGTTCCTGGTACACAACGCTAATAACATCAGTGGTGGAAACACATCGCAGGAAAAATCAGAGAGGGGCTGACATGATGTAGTGGTTCCAGAAAAGCACATTCTAGCAATGCGCGTGACTCTGCACAGAGAAGAAGGGGTAGAGTCGGAGAAGCAGAAGCATTTCTACCACCAGCAAAACGTCCCCAGCTGGGCAACAAGAGGACCTCAGGGATGTTAACTTGGTCTGAGTGAAACAACCTTCACTCGTTGCCGTTCGCCCTCATTCTGCGCTCCCCAAGCAGCCTTCTGATGACATATTGGTTTTTGAGATGTCTCAATATCAGGAAGGAGTTTTCCATGGGTCCCGGGCAGGAGCTTTCTGGCTCTTAGACAGGGCTTACTGCCATTATGAGTCAATGAATTAGTGTTCTAATAAGTACTTAAGGTCACATTCTGATGTCCCACAAGGCAATTGGTACCGTATAGTTTCTGACCCCACTCAGCTAGATACAGGGATTAGAACTGGAGTCAAAGTCACTGTCCCACCCACTCTATCCTGTCTCCCATCCTAATGGTTCTCTTCGTCCTCAGGGTTGACATTCCTCCCTGTTCAAACTTCAAACTGCAGTTAAGTGAATACATTTTGCTAGGAGCCTCCTGTCAGCCAGGATAAGAAGGGAATCTTGGAGGGCTCTTAATTCTCATTATCTAATAACAGAATCCTCTGGGAACTAGTATGAAGGATATTAAAATCCTATCTTCATTTGCCATTTAGACTTTAGGGAGAAAAAAGCTTGTGAATAACAGTTTTACATGGTTTCATTCAAGGAAAAGCAGATTTTTCACAAGGGTTTTTCCAAGATGACACATTCTTCTTAGACTTAACCCAGGGCTCTCCCTATCAGAGTAGGTGATTAAGAATTTACTGAAGTTTTTGGAAAATGTTAACCCTGTCGTCCTCCCCAGGGATGCTAGCATACAAAAGCTGTGATCCGAAAGCCAGCTGCTTCAAACAGAAAATATTTCCCCGTGGAAACAGTAGTCTTAAAATTATGGGAATTCCTGGGGAAGTCCAGGGAATCCTCTTTGATCCTGAATGTGGCTGAGGCGATGCTGATGGTAACATGACCTAACACCAGGTTCGGGATCCCGGACCTGAGCCGGGCGCTGCAGCGGCTCCCTCAGCCCTGCCCTGGTCCTGCTCCCGAGTGGGATTCGCTGAAGAACTAAGTCCCTGGGTGCTCTGCCCCACCCCCGCTCACTGAGGTCCCACAAGGGCTGAACTGGGACTCAAAGGTCTTCCATGGTGTAGGAAGCTAGCTTCCCTGAGCCTTAGAATTCACGTCTCGATGCCGCAGGTGGACAGCTCCTTTGTAAATTACCAAACAACCTCAGTTTCAAGGGAATCCTGTTGAGGTCTGCAAAGAATTGAATCACAAATGAAATTCTGAAATGGATTTCTTGGAGCCACCTTTACTGTATTTTTACGGTTTCCTTTCCTTGTTTTTTTTCACTCTTACATGAAGTCTTGGTTAGTAGTGGTCAATGATGCTCCCCTCTTCCAGGCTCATGGGCGACCTAGCTTTAATGTTTCCTAATTCTTCAAATGCGTGATCTTGCTGTCACCGTGTTTCGGTTATAGTTCACTCAGATTTTAGTCCAACCTCTTGCCAGTCTTCTCTGTTCCCTTCTCCCACAAATATCTCCTCCTTGCCCATGCTAATCTTCCTTTAAAAATACCCTTTCCCTTACGATGGGGAGCGGCGGTGGAAATTGTCTACTTCTCTGCTGTCCCGTCAGAAGCCACTCAGCAAGTGTGGCCACCGGTAGTGTGAGGACATTTGTATCGGTTTCACACCGGAATTCAGTTTGACACTGGAATTGAACTGTGTGTGTGTGTGTGTGCAGCTTCCTAGGCTCTTTCTCCCTTTACAGCATCTGGACAGGAGGCAGGAGCTGCCTTTTCCTCTGATCAAGGCTGAACAGAAGGTGCTGATTTTGCTCTTGATCCTCCCACAGACAGGAGAAAATCTCCCCTGGCTGTAAGATGTCACTGTTTGCTGCTGGTAGAATTCTGTTGATCTGTCCTGCCCCAGGTTCAGAAACAAAACAGATAGACCATCCTGACCCCCACCTGCGCTGTCCGCTATCATCCAATCCTTTGCTCTGCACCATGAAGCTCATGGACACGTTCTGCCTCCGTTCCTCCTGCCCTTCTGCCCTGGGAACTCTCAGGCTCTCCTTCGGCTCCTGCACTGAAGGGCCCTTGTCAAGGTCACCAGTCCCCACGGGATCTACTCCCCCATGTCCTGCCACCAGCTCTCCTGTGTGTTTGCCAGTTGTTGGCTTTCTTCTTGAAACACTTCCACCTCTTGGTTCCTGGGCCATCTTAACCCAGCCTCCTCCTCCTGCAGCCTCCTCCTCCCCCAGCCTCCTCCTCCCCCTAGGGGACCGAAGTTGGCAGCACCTCGGTCCCCGAATGGGCCCATTTCTCAGGGATCCCCTGGCGGTGCTCCCTAGGGGGTCTCAAGCAGCACACAGATCTCAAATGCCACACCTGTCTATGATCCCAAAGTATCTGCAGCCACACGTGTCCCCGGAGCACCACCACCACGCAGTCCACCGGCCCCTCCGTGGCTCTGGGGTAGTTACATGGCTTCTCACTCCTAGTGTGTCCAAAACACAGTTCCCGTGTCCCTTGCGGTGCACACTGCGTCTCCCCCGCCCTGCCCATCAGGACAAATGCAACCTGGACAGAAAACCAAACCCAAAGAGATCAGTCAACCGGGACTCTGCCTTCTCTCTCTCTCTCCTTGTACTTCCGTCCAGTCTACCAGCTAGACTCGCCAACGGTGTCTTCCAAAGGGGATCCCCCGCCACTTCCCCGTTCTCACGCTGCCCCCATGCCCCACGCTGCGCCACCTGTCCACCTTCATTCAGGCTCCGCCTCCCCACCTGCTCCCGGTAGCTTCCTTCATGGAAGACCCAGGGGTCTTCCTAATTACCAATGGATCATATCACTCTTCTGCTTCACATTCTCTCATGCTTCCCCAGCACGTGGGGACCCAAGCCTGTGGCCTTCAAGGACCTTCTGACCCTGCTCCTCTCTGCCCCTGCGTCCTGCTCCCCCCTGCTGCCCTGCCCCGCACGTTGGCTGCCTGGCCTTCGTGGCTCAGACTTGCCTCCCCCTTCCCGTGCCTGCCCAGGAGCTCTTCCTCCTGTCCTCACGGAGGAGCGACGCACGCTGACATGTCACCACTGAGGTCACGTGTGGTCTCCGAGAGGCCCCCGTGGGTTCGCTCTTCCCCCACCCTTCACGGTGTGGATCCATCCGCACAGGCTCCCGTTCTGACTCGCTCGCTGTCCGTTCCCCAGCCAGAGCGGGAGCTCGTGCACGTGTAGTCCCGGAACCAAGAACCAAACTCGGGTCAGGCAGGGGCTACAGATATTTACAGAAGAATGAACGGCCACGGCCACATGAGCCACGCTTGCAGCAAAATGGAGCTTTCCGCGGCCCGACGCAAAGTCCTTTTGGTTTTATAAATATACAAAACTAGACAGCTACGAAGTTATGAGTTCCATGTCACAAACACGCCTAAACCCACCAACTCATCTCTTTTCAGCATAGCTACCAGCTTCTCTGCTTTAGAAACAGAGAAAAGCTCGTTTCTTTTGTACTGAAGGAACTTCGCCTCTGAGATTCTAATAGTCCCATTTCACGAAAAAGGTCAAGTAAATTAGGAACTCTTTGCTGGATATTTTGTTCTTCCATAAAACCATCAGATAAAAGTATGTAAATGATTTTTGCGTTGAAAATGCCCGTGCTTGATAGTGATTAGGGACGTTATTCTTTGCTGTAACATTAAAATACTAATTGGGCAGCGGTATTAATCAAGAAGGTGTCTGACTTAACTTCAAAAAATAAAAGAGGCTAAATAGAAAAAAGAAGTGAAAGAAAAAAGCCATGCAGGTGTTCTGGAAAATTCAGTAAGCCCACCATTCCAGAACACTATTCTACACTGAGAACTCTCCTATCTTTTCTGTCCTGGACACATTTTGTGGGCATTTTGCCAAGAAGACCCCCGCCCGGGAGGAGGTGAGGATACCAGGAAGGGCGAGAAGAGCCCCGAGGGCTGGCGCATCACAGCAGGGACCCCGCGTACCTGCTGAGTGGCAGGACTCCCCTCTGCCTTCCGCTGGGTCATCGCTCATCTGCCCCCAGGAATCCGCGCTGCTTCTCAGAGTCAGCAACGCCGGTCCTCTGCTCCCACTTCTCAGTGTGAATGGACAGCAGCTGGCTGGAAGGGACAACAGGATAGGATATTAATGTCGACGACTCCTTGCCACTAGGATCAGGAGCAGGGCTCTGCCTGGAAGCCTCCAGCAACAGATGGGGCGTGTGTGAGACGGGCTTGATGGGACGAATGCCGTCGTGATGCACGAGGCTTGAGAACCACTGTTCTAGATGCGTACCCTCAGGGGAGCAGCCTGGTGGGGAAAGCATGAAGGAGCAGATCGACAGTGCCCTTCGCACCAGATTCTGGGGAACCACACCTTCCCAATACACGTCCCGCTCCGAGGCGCCCAGGGTGTGAATTCACAGGATGCTCATCTCCATGAGGACCTTCCCAGGTATTTACCATAAATCAAGAGCGATCTTGTTCCCTGAGGGAGGAACTGTAGCCTGCCCGGCTTTGATAGCGCTGACCAGGAGGGAAACAGATCCTCAGGGATGACAGAGGATTACTTCAGAAATGCATGAAGGGGAGGTGTGGGGCTTAGCCAGCCCCTTTTCCCAAAGGTCAAGGAGGTTTGCTCTCGTTAAGGAGGGTGATGAGGCTGGGGACCCCTGGACACCAAGGGCTGAGGAGCAGGGGAGGCGCACGGGAGCATTGGCAGGGGTGCGGGACGGAGCAGAGGGTGGCTGAAGGGTCCGGTTGGAAGACAAAGGTCACCGAAACAAAGGAGACCAGAGCCAAGGCTGACACTGGGGCTTTTCAGTGTTCAATCCGGTCGTCCCTGGGCCACGAACGGCAGGATGGAGAGGTGGGGGGGAGGATGGGGCTCCCATGTGTGTTTGTGGGGGTGCAGCCCTGAGCTCGTGTCTGTGGGCCTCTGTCACTGTCCGCACCTTTCATGCACGACTAGCAGAAGACAGACGAGGTCCCAGGTGTCTGGGACCAGTCACCTGACAGTGGACGGTAAGTCCTCTGAATGGGTTGTGGGAGGATGACTTTCGATATGTAATAAATATCTTGGATTGAAATGTCCCTTGCCATTACGAAATACTTTCAGACAGCTTGACCGAAGTACAATCGACCTGTTGGCGGTTCGCGCCCAGGCAGAGCACGTGGGCAGATTTGACGTACGTACACACCGTGAAACCGTCACCAGCACATCTGGAGTAATTACGGTTGTACGAAAGCAAAAACACAAATACAAAAGCCAAAGGAGTTGGATACCTCATGTCTGTGCCTCAGTCTCCGTCCTCTCCCCACCTAGCACGGGCCCACCTGCTTCTCGGGCCCCTCACGACCGAGTCAAGAAGGCTCTAGGTGGAGGGACCCCACGACTTCCTACCCAGGCAGCCCAATCTGCCCGGGGCCTGCTGGCTGGAGCGCCACCAATCAGCCCGGCCCGGCCACCGTCGGGGGAGCCCTGGGGATGAAGACAGTCCTGGGCTTGCCGCTCCTGCGAGACCCATCTCCTGTGCTCCTTTCGGACTGCGGGAGGCTCTGACAGCATCTGAGGCTAAAACACAGAGCCCAGGTATCTTCCTTAAACAAGAGGAATAGACAGTGATCGAAAATCAACCACTAGATAGTGATCGAAAATCAACCACGAACGCTGCAGATAGAGTGAGTTAAAGGTCAGTGGGAGGTGTGGCTCACCGTGAAATCTGGGGAAGGTCGGGGGGAGTGATACCTCCGTACTCGGACCCACGAGCCTGAATAGTGGCCGGGTTTAGGGGTTCAGGCATTAATGGGTCTGTTGTCAGACCAGGGGAAACAGGAATTGAATTCCTTGAGAGAAACCCATTAACTCTCCCATTAATGAAATGGGCGTCTCTGTGACCGGCGGGATGCAGGCCAGCATCTGGAGCCAGGGGACAGTTATCCTTCTGCGAACAAAGCCATGGCTGTTTGTGAACCCATCTCATCCCCGGGGCACAAAAGAATGTGTGTGTGTTGTGTGTGTATGACACAAGAGGTTCTGCTCAGGGCCCCAGTAACTCCCCCAGGGAGCAACTTGGCAAGAAGAAGGTCCAAGACAGGCTGTTCTTCCCATCCTGCAGAGCTCTGACCACAGATAGACCCAGAACAGAGAGTTCCAAGCAGGGCGGCTGGAGGAGAGCAGTGGCTCCTCGGGGAGGGGACTGGCAGCCCAGGCAGGGAGCTGAGAGCAGACAGTCGGAGCCGGGGGGCACCTCAGGGAGCCCGTGGTGCTCAGAGACGCCCACCCTCGCGGGGTTTCTGGGACTGTGTCCTTACGCGTACGCAAAACTGGCCAGGTTTGGGGGCATACAGATTACTAAAGGTTGTGAGATAAGCAACAATGTTTTTATACAGATGGAAATCAGGATTTAAAAGTTTCAAGTAAGATTAAAAACATTTATCCTGGAACCACACTCTGCCCCTGCTCTCAAAATCAGACAACAGCGGCTGCCTGGGTGTCTCAGGTGCATCATCTAAATTCAATCTAGATGTTTTCCCCCAAATCAGCCATTCAGCAAATTCCAGGAATGCTGTGTTTTGGGTCACTGAAAGGGCCGAGTTTCCCTGAAGGAGAAGGAACCTGTAGGACAGTCATAGGTGAGTGTGAAAGGGAGAAGCAGGGGTGGGAGGAGCACTGGAGAGAGGACGCACACACCCGTGCACACACATGCACCTGTGCACACGCACTTACCCGTACACACGCACACACAGCTGCACGCACAGGTGTACACACATGCCCCACATAACACAGGCTAAGCCTCTCTCAGTGTGCGAGGGGCTGGGTGGCACAGGAGATGAGTCAGATGAGTCAAGGCCCAGGGAAAAAGACAGCCAACAAACCGGCCCCGCAGAGCGTGAGGATGATGAAACCCTTCTCAGCCGTGGGGACCGCCTTCCTCTCCCCGGCCGCGCACTGTGTTGGGGAAGCTGGGGCTCCACCGGGATCTCCCCGCCTTCCATGTCTCCCAGCAGAGCTCCACACAGTTACCACGGCACGGGGCTTTCTCCCTGAGCCGCATCCCATTCTACCAGAGCAGGAAGCGCCCTTTCCTTCTGTCCATGGGGGCTGGGACTGAACGTAACATGAAATGCAGGCTCCTTTACGGCGGAGTCCTCTCCCCTAGAGCCTGGACCACGCAGCGGCGTCACGCGCTGAGGACAAACGACGGCAACAGAAGCCGCACAGGGAGACCACTGAGCCATTCTCTCACCAGACTCAGGCAGCCGGGATGAGAGCCCTGCATCCCCGCTGGAGTTCTATACGCACCAAGAGTCAGGGATTCTTGGGAAGGCTTGGGGCCACAACCGAGAAATTCACGGATTACTTACAACTGATTGGGTTTGTGAAATTCCTGGTAGGGACTGCTTTCTATAGCAGCTCCTTCCTTTTCTTTAATTCTCTGAATCTGCTCTTGGTGTTGCAGGGCAAGGCTGTGAGGAAGCTTAGGGTGGGGCACAAGCCCCCGGGAGCCCCAGGGACCTGGGTTCTGAGGTGGAGTGAGCACCTGACCTTTTACCAGGAAGGTGGTGGCAATGCTATGGTTTGCTACAAGCATGTTTCAGACCATCAGGCCTGAGATCAAGACAGTGGACTTGGAGGCAAACAGGCTGGGGACCTGTGAGAACAGCTGCATGGGGAGGGGGCAAGGCCATCTAAGAGGAGTGGACAGGACATGGCGACGCTTGCAGGGAGATGCAGAGCAGAGGAGCCTGGACGGTGGCCAGGCAGAGAGCACACAGAAGAGGTTCTCCTTAGGCTGGTGGAGATCCAGCCCAGCTTTGATTCCGGGAGCAGGAGCGGATAGTGAAGGGGACTCACGTTCATGGACAAGAGAACCCAGGACTCGGAGCCTGACCACAGTGGGAAGGAATGCTGGAAGGAGACAGAGTGGTAAGCCCCAGGGAAGGATGGGAGAGTGACTTTCCTTTGCATTTAGGAAAAACAAAGAGCTAGGTGAAGATAAGAGGATTCTGTCCTGAAGAAAAATGAGAGAGAGGAAGCGCTCAAGATGGTTTTGAGTGTCTGAGTGAAATGAGTATCTGTGAACCAAAGTCCTTTTCATGACTATGCCTCACTTAATTTTTTAAAAAATTGTGCCAAGTATGCAAAACATAACATTTGCCATTTCAACCATTTTAAAGGGTTTGTTTCTATGGTGTTAAGCACTTGGCCTCATTGTGCAGACATCATCACCGTCCATCTCCAAAACTCTTTTCATCTTCTCACACTGAACCTCTGTGGCCATGAAACCCTGACCCCCGTATGTCCTCTCCCCAGCCTGTGGACGCCACCGTTCTACTTCCTGCTTCTACAGGTTTGCCCACTGCAGGAATTTCAAATAAATGGAATCACGCATTACTCCATTGTCCTTCTGCGACTGGCTTCTTTCACGAACAAAATGTCCAGGGTGTATCCATGTTACGGTAGGGACCAGACTCTCCTTCCTTTGCAAGTCTGAGTAGTATGCCTTTGTACGGAGAGACCCCCAATTTGTTTATCCATCTGTCGGTGGACCCTTGGGTTGCTCCCGCCTTTGGCTATGGTGATTAACACGGCTGTGAAAACGCACGAGCGACAGCCTCTTCCAGCTTCCGCGTCACATCTTTTGGGTGTCTGTTCCAAAGTGGAATTGCTGGATCGATGGTAATTCCAAATTCCATGTTTAAGTTTTTGGGAAGCTTCCACACTGTTTTCTGCAACCGCGACACCACTCTACATCCCCACCAGCAAAGCACGGCATTCTAATTTTTCCATAGCTCATCAACGCTGGTTATTTTATTTCTTCCTCTTAAAAAAAAAGGATAACCATCCCACGGGTGTGGCGTGGTACCTCAGTGCAGTTTTGCTTTGCACTTCCCGGACACTTCGTGATTGTTGGGCCTCTTTTTACGTGCTCATTGAACACGATTGGCAAATATTCTCTCTCATTCCATGAGTTCCCTTCTCACTCTGCTAATTGTGTCCTTTGATGCATACACATTTTTCATTTTGTTGAAGGCCAGTGTATCTCTTCATTCTTTTGTTGCCTGTGAGTTAGGTGTTATGCCCAAGAAATTCTCAGCAGATACAGGTCATAAAGCTT